GGCTGGAGGGAGGAGCAGACGGACTGGGAGAGGCAGGAAGTGGAGGTATTGTGTCGGGGAGCCTGTCTCCTTCCTGGCCCCAGTCCTACACAGCCCTCCAAATAGGGGACTCCTTACAGCCAGTGTCCTGAAAACACTGAGAAGGGGATTCTGTGATCTGAGCCCTCTACAGTATTATAAAATGGGCAATTCTGTGTTTCCTATGTCGGACCCAGTCAATGATCATGTGTGTATGTATGTGTGTGTGTGTGTGTGTGTGTGTGTGTGTGTGTGTGTGTGTGTTATGTGTATTGCAATTGCAGGTAGTTTGAAATTTTCTCTTGTGAAAGGAAAGTCAGGCCAACAGCCCTCGCTAGAGAACTTGTGTGTGTACTGAGTGCCCAGGGTTACTACTGCCTTCCCTTCTCTGGAGCGGTCTCGATTCCCCTGAGTGTCTCAGTGCCAAACTTGAGGACAGCGAAGTCCTGCCTAAAGCAAGGAGAGTCCTTGATTCCAACCCTCCCTCCCGCTGCCACACGCACACACACACACACTCACCCCACCATCACCATCACCACCAGGTATTCGCAGTGGCTTTCCATGTGCTTGACACACAGTCCTACCAAGCTCACTTGTTTGGTTTCTGCTGTGGGAGCGATTTGCTGGAGGAGAGCCCACAGGTGAGGCAGGATGCTGAGATGGGTAAACTATACATAAAACAAAGACGCAAGAGCCTTCTGAAGGTGGAGGGCAGGCTGGGGCCACTTAGGTTGGTGGCGACGAGCACCGGCCCTTTCAGAGACCCTGAGCCCCACCCTGTAGTTGAATTTAGACACGGATTTTTATATTGACCCCCCCAGCACATGGACACAAGCTTCAGTTATGTATTTCAAACTCATGGTCAGTTGTGAGACGGTCCAGCTTTTGAGGGGGGAAAACGTCACCAGGAGGAACATTGAAACGTGGGAGAAAATGTGTGCCTTGGATGCAAGGAAGCCGGCTTTGCTCAGAGACGTCTCTTCAGTTGATTGCCAGGCTTCCATCTGTTTTAAGAAAGCAGGAAGGTTCGCCGAGCTGAGCCTCAAACCTTCAAGCAGGTTTTTGTCCAGCTGGACAAGTGTCCTAGGGAGCTGCACGCCCGCACACCTGTCCCAAATGCTAAACGAATTTGGAGATAAATGAGTCTAAAATGGGTTCGGTAGGTTATTCACCTGCCTTGGGGCTATTTAATGTCCCCAAGCAGCTCTGCTCTCTGGACTCATGTATCTGTTTTCATGACCCTCGTCCTCTTCTTTTGTGATGTCACCGACGGCCTGGCTGCGTGCTGGTCCCCCTCCTTAATTCCTCTGAGCTTCCTAACTTCCTGCTGTATCCAAGTTGCCGCTGTTGTAGAATTGTGTGCAAATGGGGGTCTCATGGAAGAATGTGGACAGCTAGGTAGCACCTTAATTTTGGCAAAGAAGCAGTAAAGTGTTGTTTCTATCAAATTGGCTCGTCATGATATTTTCAGAGGTAAATGTCTTGTGGAAGGGGCGCCTTTTCCTCCGTTTGTTGTTTGTCTTACGTGCCTGTGTGGGCTGGCGGTGCCCTCGCCTGGCCCAGGGTTGATGCTGTGTCCATGAGGCCCCTGCTGTCCCCTCCCTGCCCCGCACGTGGTCCGCTCAGGGCCCACATTTCATCACAGAGAAGCGTCCTGCTGTAACTTCTCCCGAAGGCCTGCAGTGGACATGGCGGTGTCAGGAACAGGAATTGCAGAGCTGCCAAGCCCCCAGGCCTCCTCCCACTGGCCAGCCCTGCCTGACAGCGGTGGGCAGCCCCTTGTGTTCAGGGCTCATTCACGACTCAGCACTGTCTTCCTCAAAACCGTACCCCGTCTCCTCTCAGGGACACTGTGGCCCAGCCAGCTGACTGAACGCTTCTCCTGAAAGCTTTTGACTAACAGATGCACTGGTGTCCTTACCTTAAATAGCCAGCTCTGGGCTTCCTACTCAGGTTTCGGTATTGGACATAGATTGTTTATCGATACCTACATAGGTGGGACATTATGGACAAAAGCGATGAATGGAGTACCACAAAACTGAAGTGTGGGTGTGATCCAGCAGAGGCTCGGAGGTGACATCCGGACCCCAGGGACTATGCTGCGACTTAACCTGGGAGGGTGCATACGTGCTCTGTTTAATACTTTTCAATTGTACATATAGTACATCTCACAATCAAAAGGAGCTTGAGGAAAGCATCAACGGGCACTGTGTAATGGCTCAGAGCTCTTCTCTGAGTCAAAGAGGAGAGCTTACAGGAGCGATGCATGCCTGTTGGGCAGGGATTTTTTGTTGGCTTGTGTTCACCCTCCATGCGTAGCTCAGCTCTGGACAGGTGAGTTTGCTGGGTAGTTGAGCTAAGAATACCAGTCCAGAGGCCAGAGCGTTCTAGAAAAGGGAACAGAGGAGCGTGACTATTTAAAGACCTGCGGTGTCCCAGCTTCTCCAAGAGTCAGGCTCAGGGAGCAGGCTCTGAGCTTCAGTCTGAGAAACAGGAACGGCAGAGGCGGCCTCTTTGTTCCTGTTCCCCTAATAGAGGCAGAGCCTGCACTGGCAATGGGTCTTCCCTGGGGTGACGCAGTTTAAAACTCGGGGCGTGAATAGAGCCCTCTGACTCCTACCCGCATGCAGAGCGTGTGGGGAAGAGACGACATGCTTCCTTGCCGAGGGAAGGCCCAGCTGAGGACGATTTCATGGCTGACGATTGTGCTTGTCAGAATCCACAAAAAGAGACCCGATCAATAAGTTGTCGAAAAAATCCTTCTCGGGCCACATATGTTTCTTTTGTCCAGTAGACCAACTATTAATACTTTCCACTTTCTGGAAGTCGTTTTAACCCTTTCAAGTCACAAGAAGAACATCTGACTTAGAATCATTCACACAAGAATCTACATGAAACCAGAGAGATTGGTAATTGGTAATAGATAGGTAGGTAGGTAGGATAGAGAGAGAAATAGGTAGTTAGATCTCCACGAGTCTCTAAGTAAATACATTCATTTAAAGAGCCTAACATCAGCACAGAAGGAGCAGACTGGGACTGCATCACTGGTAATTAATTTGGGTTTTGAGCTTCTAATAAAAGGAAGCAACATAGAAAGGAAGAACTATTTTAGGACTCTTTTGCTTTTGATATTTTGTATTTAAACAGAATTGGCAGTTTTTGAAATCAAAGTTTGGAAAGAGATCCCTGTACAAATTAACAAAGCCCATAGGAGACCCCTGTCCAAATGAGAAGGGTTAATGACTGCCTTTTTTTTTTTTTTTGAGTATTTTCCATGTACAAGCACTGGGACCCGGAAGGCACTTTAGCTACTTTTGGTTGGTTGGTTTGTAAGAACATGGAAAGCTGCGTTTACCCCTTGTCACCTGGGCTGCCTCAGATCCCACGGTCAGAAGGTACATTGAGGGGGCCCTCTGGATTCTGTGTTCTTCCCTCTGCCTTGTGTGATGTCACCACACTCAGCCTATTTCTGTTGTCTGGGACACCAGGCCTTGGGGACAGAAGAGCTAGAACAAATTGCAGACAACCGAGACATTTTAAGAGAGTTCGCTATTACAGTCAATGCCAGGTCATCATGGGTTCATTTTGGTTTTGTGTATAAGACATTTGAGAAACTATAGCGAGAATCTTCTAAGAGATTTGATTGTTCCAAGTGTTCCCAGACTGTTTTTCTGCCCCAGTATATGAAGAGGTTTGGACACACCCCACCAGCGGCAGTGGTTCTCTCCCCCAGGGGGGGCCATTCCCATCAACATATATGCAGAGGTGAGTCACTGCCTTATTTAAAATGCAGAACGCCTTACAATTTATAGAGTATTCCAGAAGGAAAAACGGAGAACAAAAACAGAGTATAAAATAGGCAAGCAGTGAGGAGAAAGTCTCTCTCCCAGTCCCTGGGGGTCCTGCCTTGCCCCCTCTATTCCCCACCCCCACTCCGGGCAACGCTGGTTCCAGCATCTTCTGGGTCCTTCCAGAGATATTCTGAGCATATCAGCATTTACTGAGGAAGCACACCTGACATGACGTCTCACATTTTGCTTTGTTCACGTGATAACGTATCTTCGAGGTTATTACACAGGAACACAAGAGCGTCTGCCTCATTCTCTTTTACTTTTTTACATGGATGTGCTGGAATTCATCGACTAGTCCCCTACTGATGGGTAGATGGTCCCAGACTTTTGATATTATGGTGTGGCAGCAAGCAACACGTTGTCCACATTTTAGATCCACTGCTTCGACAGAAGTGTGCACACTAATAAATTATCTCCTCTCTCTGTTCTTGCCATATTATGTAGCCTTGCATCAATGTTTCTGGAATAATAAAGATAACTAGCGTTTAGTAAATGCTTACTACATGTCAGGCACTATGCTAACTAAACACCTCACACAGATCATTATTATATTGTGTTATTACCTTGATTTAAATATTTAACATATTAATAATATAAATATGGTATTATATAAAGTGTAATTATATAAAGTATATATATTGTTTATTATTATATGTATACATTTATTATAAAAATCAATACTATAATAAAATAATATTCAATATTATTAATGCATTAGAGTAGCTAGTGACTTGGTTTTATAGATGAGGCTGGATAGCTGATAGTGGTGGAGATGGGATTTGAACCCAGGTACCTGGCCCTGAGTCAGTGTGCTTGACTCCATTGCCTCTTGTCAAGATCATTGGGTTCCTGAAGGGCACCAGCAAACACACTCTCTTTAGAGCCCAGTGTGTGAGAGTAATGTGTACAGTGGAGTTTCTAAGTGAACTCCATGGGGAGGCTTTTCAGGAATGACGGCCACATGCTTAGCGCTAGGAAAGCACACGCACCCTGGCACCTGACGGCCCCAGTTCTCCAGAGGCAGCGCCACAGTGACCCTGTCTCTGGGAGTGCGTGACGTGGCGTCCAGAAGCCAGGACGACAGATGTGCACTTGTCAGATGTTTTAGCACAACTCTCATTTCATTTTTAGTAGAAACAAAAGTATTTTCTGGAAGCAGCGAGAAGCAGCGAGAAGCCCGTGTGACTTTGTCTGCTCCCCCAGTGGAACTGAAGGTGGTTAAAGAGTTTCTTCCCGATGGGCATAGCTCTCCAAGCAACAGCTGTCAGTCTAGCAGCCTTTCTGAGCCCGCAGAGTCTCAACAGCAAAGCTTCCTGAAACCCAGCCTCCTTTTACCTGGGTTTCTTGGCCCCTTACAAGATGTATGCACATCTCCACAGGAAGACAATGGTGCTCAGATAGAAAGAGAGTCCCCCAGAGGTAAGGAGCAAGGGAGGTAGGGCTGAAATGATTCCTCATGGATATTCATACGGAAAGTGTTACCGCGTCTCCCTGGGCCCTCGCTCATACACACCCACCTTAGGAAGCTGCCCGTCTGTGCCAGCTGAGGGAACAGGGCCGGTAGGTTCAAATGGTGGGTGGGCTCTGCCTCCCAAGCTCAGAAATGGCAGCCCCGCGTGGGGTAGGGATCCCCAGCCCTACTGTGTGCACGGCCAGTGTCACCTGAGGCTGAGAAGGCCATTCGAGGTATGCAGCAGGTTCTCGGGCTTAGCGAGGGGAGGTCTGAGATGCTGAGGCGGCCGCTCTATAAGTGGCAGGTCACCAGGGTGACTGTGGTCATCTGCACATGATGACCAGGGATAACGGCTAAGAGGTGCCAGCCCCCACCTGTGCCCAGCACTCAACAAGCAGGAGTGTTCTGGTCCTCACAGTGCCCTCGAGGTAGGTTCCAATGTCAGCCTGTCACACGGGAGGGAACCAAGAATTAAAACCAGGCTATCACTGCTCCAAAGGCCAGTGGCTGAGCCCACTAATACCTCAGTGAGCACTGAACTATTCAAGAACACGAGAATAAAATAGAAAAAAAGATCTGTAGTACCCGGTCATGTCAGTAGGAAAATTTAGATTGTCTATTGCTCTAAAGCTTTTCCTCAAAGAGCTATGGATAAGGACAGAAAGAAAAATATCGGATTGAAGAGTTGTGCATTATAAAAGTTAAAATTGTATGGTAATTGATCAAAATAATTTCACTTGGAACCCAAGCTCATCCCTAACTGTTCATTCATTCATACATTAAAGAAACATTTATTGAACACCTACTGTGTGCCAGGCACTGTGCTCGGTGCCCCTGCCCTCCAGACTCTCTTAATCCAGTGCTAGAGACCTGGGGATAAGAACTGTGTCCATGGTGAGCTTTCAGGAAGCCAAGAACAGTCCGGGTGAGCCATCCAAGGAGGCCCTGGACAGAGACGTCTCCCTCAAGGCAATGACTTTGAGCAGGAACTTTAAAGCTGACTAGAGGTTTAAAAATCAGACCCAAGGCTGAGAGCACTGCAGGCTGAGGGAAAGACCTAGTGTGAGTCTAAAGTTATGTGGGTCAAGTTAGAAGGTCCTTATAAACCCACTGATGGAGTTTGGACTGACGGCAGGGCCGGGCCCTTGAAAGGGCAGAGGCCTAATTAGATCTTCTCTGAAGGAGACCGTATTCTGGACAATAGGGAGGTCCGATGGCAAAGGCAAGGCTAGGGGCTGGGACCCAGCCAGAGGTGGTCCAGGCTGTGTCACTGGGGAGGAGGGATCACAGCAGTGGAGACTGTCAGGGTACAGTGGACAATGTGAGCACTGAGGAAGGCAGGCATCTTAGGACTGAGCGTCCTTGGTGGCTGGGTGTGGTGATGGGTTGGTGGTGGGGAAGGGGGAAGGCAGCTGTGGTTGCCCTGTGTGCCGGGTGAGCTAGAATAAGGGTTCATAACAAGAAATGGAAGCAGTATGGTGGGAGGCATAACAGACTCTCGCTGGAGGGGTTTGGGGTTGGATGTCTGGGCTTGTACTGAGGCTTAAGCAGGAACTGTGGAAGCAACAGCAAAATCCTCCAGAAAGATCGGGAACAAATGCTTAAAAGAATGAGAGAAACTAACTTGAGAACTTCTAAGTAGTGTGTTGTTGGAAGAGAATCAAAAGTGTTAGTTGGAGGAGGAACACCGACCGTGTACAAGGCAGGGAGAGTCGGGTCTGCCTGTGGGGCTCATAGGTGGAAGGGAGCATTGATGGTTCTGAGTAGAGATAGAGAGGACCCGGTGCGAATGGTGGGGGTTAGAGCAAGGGGTTCAGCTAAGAGATTCACAGCACTGTGGGAACTTCCAAGCGGCCGTGTCTCCACTCCCAGCAGAGTTAGCTCCTCTGGGCACGGTGGAGATCCAGGGGGACCATGACATGGTCCAGCCTTTGAGAGAGCCACAGGCTTGTGGGGTGGCAGCGTCCTGTTAAGACCCCGCCTGGTAAGTGCTGAGTGCATGAAGTGTGTGCCACTGCTAGGACACACAGGAGGTGTGATGGGGCCTGGCCTGGGGAGGAGAGGGGGCTTCCTGAGCTTTTGGGGCTCAGCCCACTGGTGGTAGGAACTCATCGGGTGGAAGAATATAAGCAGCTTTGTGGAGATGGGTCAGTGTGCGGGCAAGGACTGGGGTGGGAGGGGTTGGTGAGGCTGTATTCGGGGGATGTGTGGTGGGGAGGGCAGGCGGAGGAGGGCTCAGACACCCAGAGTGGCCTAGGACAGGATGGAAGGACATTATGTTCCAAGCGGCGGAGCTGGTCAGTAGGTGGTCAGCGAATATGTATTGATGCACCTTCCACACCCAGAGGCTGCCCTGCCTGGAGTGCTACTGAATCAACTCACCCCTGACCTTCTCCACAAAGAAATGTCAAAATGGCCTTGGGATGAGACGGAATCCAGTCTTCAGAGAGAAATCATCCTAATGATGGCTGGAAAGCCAGCGGTCGTCTGTGGCAAATTAAGGGGAGGGATAAATAATTGAACAGCATCTTCCCTCTCACATCATTAATGTCGCAAACACAAGGTGAATTAGTACTCTGTCCCCAAACAACCAAACTGTAATAGTCATACAGGACACACTTAATATGAAGTACAGACTAGAAAAGTTTCTCTTCATTGTGAGCAGAGGTACCTGGAACCTCAGAAGCCAGGGGAATACCTCTGTGGCATAATTAGCCACTTGTCCAGTCCGGCTGCCTGTAGACATTCCTCTCCGTGACCAGGGTGGCCAGGGGGTCTGTGATGAGGCTTCATATCATGGGCTTAACGAGCCCCATTAATAACCTCCTGGCGTTTCTATTTTCACAATTGTTGTCTGTACCTAATGGTGTTGAGAAACTAGGCAAAAATCACTCGGTGCCCTCTAAATGGAATTCTAAATCTTCTCTCCTAGGAGATTACACATGCTGTGACTTGGTTGTAAAAATAAAGGAATGCAAGCAAAGAGAGGACTCCGCCACGTCTGAACCCCAGCCAGCAGCGCCCGCGCCAGCACCCTCCAAGGAGCCAAACACCCCTGACCTGCAGGAAGACTGTTCCGAGTGCCAGCAAACACCTGTAAGCTCTTTGACCTTGCAGGTAAGGCCTTCTGTGTATCTAGACTTGATTCCCACCAAGGAAAAACCTTTCCTGGGGAGTCGATGGTTACACAACTTCACTTTCGTTTCTGAGGCTGGAGACCTGACTGCCCTTTGTGGTGGCTGTGTGACTCTGGGCAGGTGTTTAACCTCCCTGAGCCTCTGTTTCTCAATGTGAGTCACAGAGATAATGATATCTACTCCACTGGCGAGAATGAGGATCCTGTAATATCAACGGTGACAATGACTGTAGCAATGACAGCCCTTATTGAAAAGTTATGGGTGCCCAGACATTGGGCAGGTAGCTTCATAGGCATCAGCACCTTCTATCCTCAGGGCACCCCTTTGAGGCAGGAGTCCGTATAATGCTATCTTCAGATAAGGACAGTAAGCTTTTGGAAATGCCCAAAGTCATGCAGCCATGAGTTCAAGGATACGGAAGCTTTCGTTTGGCATCTTTTCCAGATTATAGAAGTACTATGTGTACATTTTTAAATTTCAAAAAATACAGAGGTATAATAGCAGAGCAAACAACCTCACAGAAAGCCCTTGCTAATAGTGGGTTGACAGCCACACCTTCTAGGAAAGCACTTGATATGCTGTAAGCCACCCTGCAAGTCTGGAGATGGCTCCATCACCAGCTCCTGGAGCCCTGGGGCCCGGCTGGGCCCATGGCGAGGGACTTATGGGGCTCCAAAGCCACCTGACCCTGTAGCCTCAGGGCGGGCTGCCAAGGCAGAGCCATACCTGGGCCATAGGCCATTCCCAGGGGCCATCCCTCAAGGCCCAGCGACGTGTGCCTGGTACCTGGGGCTGGCACCGTGGAGGCCAACTAGCCAAGAAGACTCCCTTCTTGTCACAGCTCCCAGGGGCTTGTCACAGATGGAGCCCCAGCCGCCCTCCCCCTGGGAACTCTGAGCTCGTGGAAGGCTGGGAGAGTGATGGAGCTCCACCGCCAGAGGACCTCTGCTGAGCACCTACTATGTGCAGAGCTTGGGCGCTGGCCGTGAGGGATATGATGTGGATGAGACACGGCCCAGCCACACAGGAGCTCACTGCTGTGGAGTGAATGTGTGTGTGTCAGTCCTGCATGGTGGTCTGGGAAGTACCACAGTGCTCGGACTGGATGAGGAGACCCCGCAGAGCTTAGGGGGAGAGCTGGGACTCCAGCCAGTGGGTGTGGCTGGAGTCGTACCCCGGGAGACGACTTGACCAGCAGTTTCAAGGAATGGCAAGCCGAAGCAGTGAAAGGCAGTGTGGGGGAAATGGCTCCCACAGCTGAAGGTGATCATCAATCACGTGATCTACCAAACTACAGTGAACCTCAGCTTTTGCATGTCAACGACGGTACATAGATCCACCTTCTGGAATCGATGCGGGGATTTCTAGAGACCAAGAATACACCCAAAGCACCTGCCCAGCGTCTGGCGTGGGGCAGGACGTGTCAGTGGCGTTTATTCTCAGTAGGCCTGTGTGGGTGGCTGAGTGCATGGAGTGAAGAATGCAGCAAGAGACAGGGCCCGAGTGAAAATATAGGGGATTCTGGCCCCCTCTACGGAGCTTGCAGAACCATTTTGTGCAGGCAAAGATATTTTGCCAACTCCTTCTGCCTGAGACGAGACGTTGCTTCTGTTAGGCGCGGTTACTGTTTCTCCTGAAAAAGCTCATATTTTGCGCCCAGTGGGTCATCTGGGTCTGTGCTTCTTAAGGCTTCCAGCCCCAGCAGAAGCGGGTGACACATGACGCTTCCATTCATGTCTCTGGGAAATATAGAATTTCGGGCATTCCTGCTTCGGTCCCTTAGAAATGAGTTCACTGACAGGGTAGAGGGAGGAGAGGGGAGGCCGCGGCCCTCGCTCTCATAGCCTTGATGTTGGTGACTCATCAGCCCTATTGTGCTGCAGTCGGGCCGTTGGTGCTGGCGAGGACAGGCTGCTAGGACCCATGCCACCAACACATCTGTGACAATGTTCACATGAGGTGATGGAAGAAAATGGTGACGTGCTATGCACGGTGGCTGTTGGTCTCCAAATGTCGTCCTTTTGATTGGCTTCTTGACTGCGTCAGGCCTTTCGGCGTCACTTCTCTTAGAAAGAATATATTTTCTTCACTCCAATCAGGAGGCGCTGGAAGTCCGTAACCCTCAGTTCATCTCTCGCTCGCAAGAACGGCTGAGGAAGCTGGAGAACATGGCACAACAGAGGCGAGCCCAGCAGAAGGGGGACCAGGGCCAGAGGCAGGGCCTCCTTCCCGTCCGCGCCCACAAGAAGCAGTTCACCATCCCCCATCCTCTTAGTGGTAAGCTCGGGGGGGCTGGGGATCCTGGGGCTGGAACCCGCCCCCAGAGGTGGTGGCCCAAACGATGCCAGTGACATACGCAGGACACACGTTCGCTCCAAATACCTGAACCTCAGCATCGTGCAGCCTGCTCTGGGAGCCAGCCCACTGTGAGAGATCATAGATGGGCCCTGAATTCAGCAGAAATAAACTGGGGACACACATTTACTGTACTAGCTGGGCAGGAAACCACACCACTGTAGCAGCCAGGGTACAAGTTCAGATTCTTGGCTCCTGACAAATATTTGCAAGAGACCCACGTTGCCCTTTATAGATTGCAAAACAGATCTCAGGGTGAGAGGTTGACTCCAGCTTGTCTCCATCAACATTCGTCATCTTGAAACCTCGTTCCTGCTGTGAGCTCTGAGAACGGAGGGCCAGCTTTCCAGGCGCAGTGTCACGTGGACCCCGCACGGGGCGGCACTCACGCACTCATTAGAGTAGGAGATATCAGGAACCGTCTCAGGGCCAGGCACCATGCTGCGAGCTGGGAGAGTGCAGTGAGTGAGACGGCCCCCAGCCCTCTCTTCCTGGAGCTTATAAACAGACGATTCAACCAGCGAGAGGAACAAGGAGAGACAAGGGCAAAATTGGGGGACATCAGAGCACATACTGGTGGCCTGCCAACTCAAATCTTAAAATCTGGAGGCCTGGGGAAACCTCCGTTTTATTCCTTTAGATAGAGGAATAAGATCTTTCTTCCTAGCAAAACCTCCTGGCCCCCAGGAGGTGAAATCATGGGTATAATTCTGAATAAAAGTCCTCTGGGGAAATAACCATATTCAATAAAATGCAGCTTAGCAAACATTACCCAGCTCGTGCAGGAGGCCCTGGGGGACAGAGGACAGAGGGTGTTGCAATAGGATTCCTAGTAGCGTCCATAGCCGTGGGCAGGCTATGTCCCTCATCCATCTGAGTACTGCTGCGGGAGTTAAGATCCCGGCAAGGGCGAACTTGAACGCGTCCTTCTCCTGGCGAAGGATTTGGCCAAACACCTGGTGCTCCTGCCCAGTGACAGTTTGCAGTGAGCTAAGAAAGCGCAATCAGCAAAATGCATGTGCCAAAGCGTTCTGCCACGTGGAAATGTGACTCGCGCCAGCAGTTTGAGCCGACTGGCTGATAAAAGGTCTAGGTGGGGGCTGTTTAGTCTCTGGCTCAACAGAGAGCCCCCAGGGCAGGTGCAGGTGCTGACTTCTGAAGCTGCTGTGAGGGACCAAATGTCAGCTGCAGTGGGAGTCCCCTGGGGCCTCCACTGGCTGTGCTTGTCCTGGAGAGGGTTGTAGGGGTGCCTGTGACATGGGGGCCACTTGGCCTCAAGAAAATCCTGCTTGATAAAAGCGGTTAGGTTAACAAATATGTTGTCAGCACATCAGCCTAGTCGCGTGTGACAAAACGTGGTGCCTGAGGGGCTGCCTTTTGAGTCAGTTCCCTTTGTATAGGAAGAAACGGGAGACCCAGGGACATTTGGGGACTTCCATGTGAGACCATTCAGCAGTATTCGTGCTGGGTTCCTCATCCCCTGGGCCCGCTGTGCCATACTATGGACCCCAGATGGCCTGGCATGCCATCGCCTCCAGCATCACAGGGATGTGTCCCCTGTCATCTGTATTTGTTTCCTGGGACTCGGTGTCTAAAGTAGCAGAATTGTATTCTCTCAGAGTCAAGAGGCCAGAGTGTAAAATCAATGTGTCCACAGGCGAATCCATCCTATGCCCGTCTCCCAGCCCCTGGGGGCTTCTGGGGGTTTCTCACAGTCCTTGTAGATGCACATTCAGCTCTCAGCCTCCATCTTCAGTGGCCTCTCCGTTGTGTCTGTGAGTCTTTGTGTCTGAATTTCCTCTTCTTACAAGGACACCAGTCATTGGGTTAGGGTCCCCCTCAGTCCAGTCTGACTCCATTTTAACTTGTCCATCGGCGAAGACTATACTTCCAAACACAGTCACTCACACCTACAGGGCTGGGGTGTGAACAGATCTTTTTGGGGGGGAGACACAAGTCTACCCATTACATCATCCGGTGGTGTTTTCTCCAAACAGATACCCTTACAAGCTCATGTTCCTCTCCAAGAAAGTCTTCAAATTGTATTAGAATAAAAGGTGACCAGGCCCAGTCAGCAGTCTGAAATAACGGAGGTGCCTTTTTAATCCCTCAAATTCTGAGGCTGTCCCAGTGACTACAGTGTTCCAGGTGTCGTGTGCGTGGGTTTCTTGGCCACGCGGCCTATCCCTGCAGTATTTATGTGTCGATGAGAGCTTTACGCTCCCGTTTGTGTGTGTTAGGTCCGTTAAATCAGACGAGCTCTGAAGCCAGAGCCTTGTGTGAGCGCGGGCGAGCGAGGGGCAGTGCTTAAGGCCCCATTAAACAAGTCTGCAGTACACATCTTGTCTTCAGCCTGTCTGCTGGCAGGATGATAAAAGCGAAATGCAGATGTTTTTCTTACATGCTAAATTAGTTCATAAATCCCATGCGTGAATGAGCTCTGGCTACAGTGTCAAGACGTCTGCGAGAGCAGATTGCTTTCCGAGCCGAGGCAGCGGCCTCCGACCAGGGCTCGCACAGCAGTCTTGGACCCAGAACAGCCCTGAGAGGTTTAGGTGGGAGCTCCGGCAGCTGGCAAACGCCCACTAGGGCAGGGGCTGCAGGGGCGGCCAGCGCCTGATGTGCGGGGACGATGATGACGAGGGCCGGAGGGTCAGCTCTGCTTCCTGTTGGCCAGCGCATTCTGAGCAGTCCTCAAGGCCCAGGGGCAGTGACACAAGGGTGCCTGCAAACGTGTGTGAGTGTTAATTGGGCTCCTCTCTGCTCCCGTAGAGACGGGGGGATCTTTATGACGATTGGGATTGTAGAGAGAGGAGGTAGCGTTATGAAGGTCCTGCCTACAGCCCCAGCCTGTCTCCGCTGACTAGCTCATCAGCAGCGGCTTGCCTTCCCAAAGCTAATTAAACCCTAGGTGTCTTTCTTCACCCGGGAGCCTCGCGGGCCCCGTTTGCGTGGCTCTAGCAGTGACACAAGCAACTTCTTCATCGCTTAGCAAACCTTTCTTGAGAGCCCACTCTGTGCCAGGCTCAGTCCCTGGTCTCACGACCTCCCCAAATCATGGGGAAAACACGCAGGTAAGGAGGCAATGACCTTGGGTTTTGCTAAATGACATGAAAGGAGTTTTCCTGGGTTGCCATGGCAACCCACAGGCGATGGACTTGTTCTTACGTAGGGGATATGGATGTCCCCTGATGGAGGAGACCTCCGACTACCTTAGGATAAGTACGGATAACGCAGATGAGTGGTGTTCAGGGTGGGGAGAACAGGACGGTGGTGAGATGCAGAATCACAGGAGTGAGAGGTCCTGGGGGTGCTTAGCTCAGCGATGGCTGGATGGTAAAATGGGGGTACGGAGCAGACAGGGCGAGGAGGCTAAAAGGCCCTGTACATGCTGCTTCCGAGTTGAACCTTATTCTGAGATCCAACGCTCAGGCGGGATTGTGTAGCGTATCTCCAGGCAAGGTATGAGGACGGTTAGCCTGGGGCAGAGCCATGGAAGGCAGGACAGTGACAGAGGTCAGAGGTCCTTGGGTGGCAGAATCAGTGGAGCATGATGACTGTTGAATTGTGGAGCAGAGATGAGTTCCCAGGCGCTGGAGGAGGAAGGCAGGAGGCAGGCCCTGCTCTCATCTCTGAAGCCCGGACTCGCCAGTCTGAGGGCCTCTCTCTCCCTCCCACAGCAGGGCTCCACCTGCTCACGTCACCTGAGGTACCCAGGGCAGCATCAGGGCTCCTGGACATCCTGGGCTTGGTCGCTCGAAGGCCAATCACAACCTGAAATTAGAGTGTCTCAGCGTCAGTCGCTCATTCCGCCTTGCAGGGTGACTAGGCCACAGGGGGGACTGAAAACATGTGACAAGCATCAGGGATCTCCCATATGTAGCGTAAGCACCCACAAGCGGGGCAGTCAGAGGTACAGCACCTGCGGGTACTAGGTGCTCGGTCAGTGGCAGCCCTCACGGTCCTCTGCTGACCAGCCTGTGGCTTTATCCTGTTCTGACTGCAGCTCTCCGAGCCTAGCCCTCATGGGCCCCACTGCACTGGGGCCCAGCCTCTGAGTCTCCCTGGATTCCATCCCACCCAGCAGCCCAGACCCGGCCCAGCCCGACTCGGCCCACCCCACCCTTCCCAGGTGGTCTCATTTGCTGTCCTTCCTTCCAGCAGGTAACACGCACGATCAGGGTCCCTCCACCCCCCGATAGAAGCCTCACCTGTCCCTCTCTCCCTCTACCTCCTGCCTAACCCCGTGAGCCCCTCTCAAGCACAGCCTCTTCGCTCATCACTGAAGTCCTGAGGCACTTTCCTCTGATTCCTGTAATGCAAGACCTGGGCGGTGTGGTGACTTCTGTGTCTCAGTCCAGCACTTGCTTCATCTGGAATCACTGCTTCTACCCACCCTCTCCTGCAGCCGACCAGAACGCCGGGTAGTACTCAAACACAGCCCTGCTCGCCTCGCTTCTGTCCCCACTCATTCCCCTCTGCTTCCTGGGGTACTCCTCATGGTGCCCCCAGGTTGTCCCCTGAACCTGTGACTGTATAGAAAACCCGTCAGCAGCACCCCCTTCTTCCAGGAAGGCCTCCCTGACTACTCCCATCCAGCCTCTTCCATTGGAGGACTCAGAGCTCTTGGATTCCTCTAGGTCCCCTACCTTCTTGCCTTCTTTGTTTTGGATTATTGTCATGCAAGTGTGGTGGAGAGACCTCCCCAGATCGTACGTGCCAGGGGCACACAGTACACCAAGTCAGTCTGGGGAGCCCTGCTGTGTAGCGAAGCAGACAGGGTCCATCTGAATCGCATTATCCACACTCTCCAAGGTGAGCCAAGTCCGAGCCATTCCAATCACGGATCAGTAGAGGAACAGAGCTTTCCGGAAGGCACTGCAGAATTCCTTCTCCAGCACAGCGGCTTTCGTTGATGATTC